GCTCCTTGGCTGGTCTGGGACCAGGCTTCTCTCCACTTCTGTGCTGGCCTTGAGTGCCTGCAAACCACCCTGCCAGGCCGCACCGGCCCTGTCTGCCTCCACACGGTGCTCACCCCTTTCCCATCTGAATGAAAAGAGGTCTTGCCACCTCTCTGAGAGGGATTCCGTCTGGAAAGTGAGGCCTACAGATCCGACATGTTCATTCTGACTTTGCAGTCTCTGGGGCTCAGCTCAGGACAGAGGACCCTGGATCCTTCTGCCCATGATCCACTAACAAGCTAAAGGCAGCAAATTAGTAGCATGCAGGCCGTGTCCAGTCCAGGAGATATTTTGTCTGGCGCAGGCGGTATTTAAAGATTCTTTTCAAAAGGTTAGGAACATTTTGTTATGAGAGCTTTAGCTTTTAAATCCATCTACCAATTTACAGGAAGTACAGAAGACAGAGTAGCATGTAAATGACACCAGCAAAACCCAGACTGTGGGAAACTCTATACGACAAAGGGAATGGCTTCTTCTTTTTTGTGTTTTTTTTTTTTAGAAAAAAATTTTTTAATTGGTTTGAGAGAGAGACAGATTTGTTGTTCCACTTATTTATGCATTCATTGGTTGCTTCTTATATGTGCCTTGACCGGGATTGAACCCACCGTCTTGGGGTATCGGGGTGATGCTCTAACCCACTGAACTACCCAGTCAGGGCCAAGGGCCTAGATTCTTTAACAAATACATTGAAGGGACAAAAAGAAGGGGAGCGAGCCCATAGGCTAAAGGGAACTTAAAAACATCAATCATTTGCAATGTGTGGACTTCGTTTGGATCCTGTTTCAAACAAACTGTAAAATATAAAATAACATAAACATTGATGACCTTCATGAAAAAATTGTAAATGTTAACACTGACAGGCTATTTAATGTGAAGTTCCCAGGGTTTATTTAGTTATGACATTGTGTTATGGTTAGAAACACGAGTCCTTATTTTTACAAAGAAAAGGGTGAGTCTAGGATTTACTTCACAATATTCAGGGTGGGGGGACGTGCGGCAGATGAAACAAAATTGACCATGAGTTGGCAACTTATTGAAACTTGGTGATAAGTGCGAGCAAGTTCATGATATTGACTTGCCGATTTTTAATAGGTTTGAAGTTTTCCATAGTTACCTTTTCATTTTATTTTATTAAAAAATTTCAGAGGAGAGTTTCCGCATGAACATTCTGAGTTTGGCTTTTCTGGAAGAACATGGAAGGGTCTGGTAAGAGGCCAGACCTCCACCCTGCAGCCACCAGCTGGAGTTGAGAAGTGTTGTGGGGCGGCATCTGCCCCCCCCCCTCCCCCGGAGCCCCGTCTCCACACTCTCTGCTGCTGGAGGCTGAGGCCGGCTGCACCCTCTGCCCCCTCTGCCTGCCTCAGCTGCCAGCATTCAGGTTTGCAGCTTTCCTTTCCTTCCTCCCAGCACGCTCCTCTCCGTGGGGCTGGGTCAAAGGAGCTGCTTGGTCTTCCGCTCTTTTTCACTATATTTTTCTCCCAAGTCTTTTTTCTGTGCCATGCATCCTTTTTGGTCCCCGGAGAATCCAGGATTTTGAAACTCAAAAGCATGAGACGAAAAATCCATTAGAAAATTAATTATGAGGACAAGCAAATGTTTTTTTAAAAGGCAAAACCCAGGAAGTAAGTCAAATACTTCTTTCAAAGTCAAGCAGAAGGAAGGGAGAGGAAGGTTTCTAGAGGTGGTACAGGCCTCTGAGGGTTCCTCTCATCTCCTCAGTCCATTTCTGTCACCGGGAAGGGGCCACACCTCTCCGAGATGTGCTGCAAAGGCCTTCTGGGGGACGGGGGGGAGGCCCCTCCCGTGCACTCCCCTCCTGCTTTTGTCCATCATCACACCCCATTCCTGAGGACGTGAGCACAGCACACCCTGGCACTTCCAATAGACACAGATGGGGCTGGGAAGGAAAAACCACAGAAAATTTGGTTAAGATGTAGATGTGGATCGTATACCTATCAGGATGGCTGATGTTAAGAAGTTGGGTGATATCAAGTTCTGCCAAAGGTGAAGGGGAACAGAAGCGCTCGTGGGCCTGTTAAGGGGTGTAAGCTTTCCGGGCAGCAGCTTGGAAGTGTTCAGTGAAACGGAATACGGACGATCCCGCGCCCAGCACTCCTGGACGCTGAGCCCAGGGAAAGTCTTGCCCAGCTCCCCAAAGAAACATGTGCGAGTGAATATGTTCTTGTAGAATCGTTTGTAAGAGCCAAGATTTGGAAACACCCAGAAGTTTACGAATAGTAACGTAGATAAAGAAAATGTGAGCTATGCAGATGAGCGCTGTGCAGCAGGTAAAAGGGAATGCTCCGGCCCATACTCATTTCCATCAACTTGGAGCCACCTCAAGATCTCAGAATCATGACTGGGAAAAAGTGAGAAGGGAATGATATGTGCACAAAGAACACTGAAGGTTATTTAAAAAAAAATAGGCACAAAATAATACCAATACCGGGCATTGATACAAATGGAAATCTAGATGAGTGGGACATACAGAATCACAGGAATGGTAAGAGGAGAAAACTGAGATTGGGGATGGGGTGAAGGGGTAAAAAAAAAAAAAAAAAAAGTAAAAGTGAGCCGTGCAGGTGCTGATAGAGGTGGTGTGCCTTGGACCAGGGAGACGGCTCATTCCTTCTGCGTACATGAGGTTTCAGCAAACAAAAACGAACCAAAACAAAACACCGGTTAATATTTAAAATATTAACCTGACGCATGTGGAAAAAGAACCGAGCGAGTGGCCGTGAATAATTAGAGGTCTAACGTGTGCCCAGAGGCAGCAGCGAGGGCTAATCTCTCTCGGGCCTCCTGGCAGAGTGGGCCAGCGGGCAGCCCGGGCAGCGCCAGGGGATGTGGGGTGTCCTCTGTGATTCTCCAATGGCTGATCTCCTTCTGGGGTCACTCCATGTTGTGGCCTTGAGTCTCTTGAAACACAGATATTCAGCTTCCTTCCAGCCCAGCCGACTGCTATCAGGGAACCTGTGGGGTCATGAGATTTTCCCACAGAGGTTGTCAGCACGGGGAGGCTTCCACCTGTTATTAGCCGCCAGCTCCTCCAGCAAAGCCAGGGTGTCCTGGGAACAGATACTCCTCCAGCCCCCCTTTGCTTTGGGTGCCTTCAGTACCAAAAGCTGCTTCTCAGACATGTTATATGCTCCTAACTAGAGCTGTCCAGGTTATCTTGGGATGTGAAGGGCAGAGGAGAGCGGTCTAGTAGCGGCTCTGACTTTGCTTGAAGCCCCACCCGCAGGCAGTGAAGGGGAGAAGGACCTTGAGTTCTTTGTTGTCTCCTGAGCCCATCCTCCCCCGCCCCCCACCTTCTTCCTTTCCTTTTACAGACATACCAGGAACTGTGCTGGGCACCATATGATTTGAATCTGACACTGTCGCCTGCCCTCAGGGAGGTTCCAGTGTAGTGAGGAGCAGGTAGTGAGTGTGGCCACGTGGTGGATTTGTGAGTGTGAGGGTGCTGTGAGACCACGGAGGTGGGCAGCTACTTCAGATGGGAGGGTATCAGGGATGGCTTCTTGGAGGCAGTGCTCCTTGCTGAATCTGAAAGGATAAATGGAGTTAACAAGAAGGGGAGAGGCATTCTTGTTGGAGGGAAGAGCACATGCAATGGCTGGGAGGCACGAAACAACAGGAAGCAGTGGGAACTGTCAACAGTTCGTCATATCTGGGCTCAGGCGGATTGTGTTAGGACTTAACTGATGTCCTACCTCCTCCCTGAAGCCTGCAGAATGGCCACAGCCCCATCATGTTCCCCTCCTCTGAATCTTGGGCAAACTTTTACAATCACGTTTCCCTACTGTGTGTGTGTGTGCGCTCACACGCGAAGGCTTCATTTCCCAGCCCTGGCTTGGAGAAGGGCCCACTAGCCCAAGGCTTCTCCCACCCAGTGCCTTGCATTTAGCCTTCACTCTACCACGGGTGGGCCAGATTCACCCAATTCTGAGCGATGTGCTGCTCCGTGAGGAGGGAGACCGGGGCCTGGGTAGCAGCACCGGATCCCACCCCAGGGCATTGGGTGTTCAGTCCGAGAGGCTTCTGCCAGGTTGTGCCTGAACCAGGCTGACATCTGGGCCAGTGCCTAGAGCAGTGATGGCGAACCTATGACACGTGTGTCAGAGGTGACACGCGAACTCATTTTTTTGGTTGATTTTTCTTTGTTAAATGGCATTTAAATATATAAAATAAATATCAAAAATATAAGTCTTTGTTTTTCTATGGTTGCAAATATCAAAAAATTTCTATTTGTGACACGGCACCAGAGTTAAGTTAGGGTTTTTCCAAATGCTGACACGCCGAGCTCAAAAGGTTCGCCATCACTCGTCTAGGTGAACATTCTTCTGGGAGAGAGAACTGAAAATCTGGTAGCCAGCCTCTCAGATGGTGCCCAGTGATCCCCACTGCCTGGCTTTCATGCCCTGTGTTGTCTTCTTCCTTGAAGCTTGATGGGTTGGCATGACCGACAGAATACAGCAGAAGAGATGGGATATGCCTTCAAGGTCAGCTGAACAGAGCCATTAGACTTCCGCCTTAGATTCCATCTTGGACTGCTCACCCTGGAAGGAGCCACCTGCTGTGTGGTGAGCACACTCAGGCAGCCCTCTGGGAGGTCCACGGGTGAGGAGCCATCGTGGACACACCCCCTCCAGCTCCAGTGAAGCTCAGAGGACAGCGGCTTCCTGAGAAACCCAGAGCCGGAGCCACCAGCGTGGCTGCGTCCAAATTCCTGACTCTCAGATACGCTTAGGAATGTTCAATGTTTGTTTCTAAAGCCGTGGCGTTTTAGGGTAATTTATTACACAGCAATAAATAACCTACACGAAGCATTTAGCAACTCGGAGTGGCTTTTCCTACTGCATGTTTGGAAAGGCCTCCTGGCCGGGCAGAAATATTAGGGCTCCCAAAAGGTCACAGTCACTCACCCCCGTTTCTTTTTCTCACTCCTTCTCCCTCCCCAGGTACTTCCCTTGATGAGACTAATAGCCCAACAGCAGACCAGAAAGAAATCTCACCTGGACTTCCGCTAGGTGACTGCCTGGAGCGGCAGGAAAACCGGCTGCCGGTGACCCCACCCCCACTGCCCCCGGGAGGTCTCCAGTCAGGGAGGCACTGACCTTGGGCACAGGACATTCCCAAAGAAATTGTGTCAACAAGCCAAGCCTCATCAGAACCTTCCATCCTAACCCTACGAAAGCCCGAACACCTGCGTTTGTGAAACTGGAGTATAAACCTTTACCTCTGGTTATTCAGTGAGTTACCCCTTAGTCCTTGTGCCCACACTCAGTATGGTACAAACCTCACCTTCTGTTAATCTGTCTATTGTTAGTTAATTCACATGCCCCCACCCCCACCCTCACCCCTCAAACCTAAGTTGGTAGAAGAACCGTTTTTTCCTCCCAACACTCTCAAATCAAAGAATCCCCAGGGACCGTCAAGTGGGAAGTTCTGGGGCCCTTGCAACTGAGTTTTCAGTCTGAACCAACACCTAGTAGGAGAGATGCCTCAGAAATTCACAGTCCCCTCACCCCAGGGATCCACAGAAACATAACTGCTGGACCTCAGGACATAGGGAGGCAGGATGGTAAGAAGCTATAAAAATTCCCTGGCAAGTGGAATGGGGAACTGAGACAGATAGTGGGTTCCAATGGGCCCCACCCAGCACCAGGACTCACCTGTCTCCTTCTCCCTGCATGACCACTTCCTTAACCTCTGGCCCTGAGAACAATGAGGTTCTGACCAGCATCAAATAAAGCTTCTGAAGCAAAGCTTCCGGTCCGTTGACCACAGAGACAGAGTTTTGATCAAACTAGAACATCTAGGCCTCAATTGTGTTTCAGCTTGAGGCCCAGAATAGCAGCAAAACCAGACAAAGTGAACAGGCAAAACCAACTTGTATCAGGACCTACCCTAGTACCAACCAATCAGCAGAGATCATGACGCTGACTCTATACACTTGTTCATTTTGATGAATCATCATATTAAAGGACACACCTGGAAAGCTGATGAATATTCTATTAAGATCCTCCCCTAAAACCTCCCTTAAAATTCCTGCCTTTAGGAAACAGATAAAAACCCTTGAGACAAAGGACCCAGTGCATGCCCTCACTTCCGCATGCCCATACCTTCCCACCTTCCTTCTTTAGGTGTGTACCTTTGTTTTCTTTCTCCTAAGCTCCAAGGGGCCCGTCTGAGTAATTTGTCCTGAGTCCATGCAGCCCAGCTGGCTCACTTCTTCTGCCTCTGTGACTTTCTTTCTAAAAAGCCAAGGCCAGTCTCTGAGTAGTCCACTCGCTTCTTCTCTTCGAGTGTGCTTTCACTTTACTTGCTAAATAAACTTCCTCTTGTGCTAGAGTTCTTGCCTCTGAATTCTTTCTTTGCTGAACTCAAGGACCGGGGTTGCTGAACTGAGAGCCCACCTCAGTGCTAACAGTAGTGAGGCTAAAAAGGTTCATTCCAATGTAACCCTGATATTTGGGGGGGGAGGGGGGGGGCTAGCAATCTGAATCTGTGCCCGCAAGCCCAGTGTACATTCTTGAGAACCTGTAATTAAGTCACTGCCCCTTTCTCCACAAACTGGTCTTGTAAGACCTGTTACCTAAATGCTCACACTTTACAGAGGCCATAAACCATGACACAGCCCCTGGAGGGGGGTGATCAGCACTGGTGCCAGGCCAGGCCCTTAGGTATGGTCTCAAGACCCCCAGTACCTGGGGCTTTTTGCAAAGCCCTTGAGAGGTCTGCAAGGATAATCCATATTTGGGGGACAAAGACACCAAAAGGGGATAAAAGAAGGGCTTCCACCATATTGGTTTGCTCAGAATTTGAGAGGCAACCTCCTCTGAGTCTGCCGGCGTAATAAAGCTGTGTAACTCCATTTCTCTAAGCGTCGCTTGTTTTTTCTCTGGTCTTCTACAACAGCAATAGGAGGCAACTGCTCATTTACAGAATGTGGCAGCTCCTGGGCTGTAGCAGCTTCCTGTTGGGTCTTGGCTTATTTGACAAACACCTAGTACTTGCTATGTGCCAGGCTCTGTCCTAAGCACTTCATAAATACTAAGTCATTTAATTCTCATAAAACCCTCTGAAGTAAATGCTATTGTTGCCTTCATTTTACAGTAAGGATCTCGAGGCATGGAAAGGTCAAGCAATTTGCTCAAAAAGGCACACAGTGAGTGGGTTGCAGAGCAGGGATCCATTCACACCCAGGTGGCCGGGCTCTGTGCTCTGCCCTGAGATGAGAATTGACCCAAAGTTTGTTCAATGAGTGTTCTGTGCCTCTGGGGCCCCGTGTTTTGGCCAGGGCTACTGGGGCTGGACAGAGTTATGTATCTTGGTTCTGGGGACAGGAATGCTGGAAGTTCACATCCTAGGCCGCATGTTTACTTGGGGAAACAAGGGGGTTGGGGTGTGTGTGTGGGGTGGGGTGGGGGATGTTCCAAGGCTGACCTCTGTACTCAGCCCTGAGGGTCAACCTGAGCCCTGCCTGGGGAAGGAGAGCCTCCTTCCTGATCATGCTCAGTCCTGCCTCCCCAGCTAGGCTCAGCCAGGTAGGTACCTTTGGGGATGCCCCCATACTTCCCCACCTGCATAGACCATTATTTCTCAACAAGGGCAATTTTACCCCCCAGGGATCATGTGGCGAAGTCTAGAGACATGTTTTTTGTTTTTGTTTTTTGGTGTGTTTTTTTTTACAGATCCTATCTTTATTTAAAATTTGATATTATGTTCAATATGCATTATGTTCAATGCAAAGTTAAGTTTTGCATTAACTTTGATTTTTTTAGTACTGCATTAATTACTTTTCTTATTACTGAGTTTTTGGGGGCCTACTTAAATTTTATTTTATTTTTTTTAATCAGAGATGCTGCCAAACATTCTAAGATTCACAGAATGACCCTGTACAACAAAAAATTACCTTGTTCCCCCAAAATACCAGTAGTGC